ATATCCATAATCTCTACTGTGTATATCCATAATCTATACTGTGCATATCCATAATCTATACTGTGCATATCCATAATCTCTACTGTGTATATCCATAATCTATACTGTGCATATCCATAATCTATACTGTGCATATCCATAATCTCTACTGTGTATATCCATAATCTCTACTGTGCATATCCATAATCTCTACTGTGCATATCCATAATCTCTACTGTGTATATCCATAATCTATACTGTGCATATCCATAATCTCTACTGTGTATATCCTTATTTTATGGCAGAGTTCAGCGACGTAAAAAGAGGAGCTTATTGGTGTAATTTGCACGCGTATGCTTGTGCGTACAGGTGATAGGCGTACATTTATTGGCCAGAATTAATTCATATTCTAAATGCTCTATGAAGGTGAACTTCTGGTGGCGAGACCCAGGGTACATATGAGTATTTAATTATGTCCGCATGCACAAGCCCTAAGGGCTCATTCAGACGGGCGTACATGTCCATGCGGTGTGCATGCCTGTAAAAAGACCCGATCCTGGAAGGGACATGTGCTGCGTGTAACCTGTTCTTCCCTTCGTCCAAGTGTTGGCACCTGGACCCGCTCATTTGTGCAGGTTTGGGTGTGCACGTGACAGTGCGCCATTGTGTGCAGCCATGGGGGTGTGGTGCCCCAGAACACGGGGAGGCTTCGTTTATGCGTGTTCTGGTGCGGGAGGGGGGTGTGGTGCCCCAGAACACGGAGAGGCTTCGTTTATGCGTGTGCTGGTGCGGGAGGGGGGTGTGGTGCCCCAGAACACGGGGAGGCTTCGTTTATGCGTGTTCTGGTGCGGGAGGGGGGTGTGGTGCCCCAGAACACGGAGAGGCTTCGTTTATAGGTGTTCTGGTGCGGGAGGGGGGTGTGGTGCCCCAGAACACGGGGAGGCTTCGTTTATACGTGTTCTGGTGCGGGAGGGGGGTGTGGTGCCCCAGAACACGGGGAGGCTTCGTTTATAGGTGTTCTGGTGCGGGAGGGGGGTGTGGTGCCCCAGAACACGGGGAGGCTTCGTTTATACGTGTTCTGGTGCGGGAGGGGGGTGTGGTGCCCCAGAACACGGGGAGGCTTCGTTTTTACGTGTTCTGGTGCGGGAGGGGGGTGTGGTGCCCCAGAACACGGAGAGGCTTCGTTTATAGGTGTTCTGGTGCGGGAGGGGGGTGTGGTGCCCCAGAACATGGGGAGGCTTCGTTTATGCGTGTTCTGGTGCGGGAGGGGGGTGTGGTGCCCCAGAACACGGAGAGGCTTCGTTTATGCGTGTGCTGGTGCGGGAGGGGGGTGTGGTGCCCCAGAACACGGAGAGGCTTCGTTTATAGGTGTTCTGGTGCGGGGGGGGGGGGTGGGGCCCCAGAACACGGAGAGGCTTCGTTTATAGGTGTTCTGGTGCGGGGGGGGGGGGTGGGGCCCCAGAACACGGAGAGGCTTCGTTTATAGGTGTTCTGGTGCGGGGGGGGGGGGTGGGGCCCCAGAACACGGAGAGGCTTCGTTTATAGGTGTTCTGGTGCGGGGGGGGGGGGTGGGGCCCCAGAACACGGAGAGGCTTCGTTTATAGGTGTTCTGGTGCGGGGGGGGGGGGTGGGGCCCCAGAACACGGAGAGGCTTCGTTTATAGGTGTTCTGGTGCGGGGGGGGGGGGTGGGGCCCCAGAACACGGAGAGGCTTCGTTTATAGGTGTTCTGGTGCGGGGGGGGGGGGTGGGGCCCCAGAACACGGAGAGGCTTCGTTTATAGGTGTTCTGGTGCGGGGGGGGGGGGTGGGGCCCCAGAACACGGAGAGGCTTCGTTTATAGGTGTTCTGGTGCGGGGGGGGGGGGTGGGGCCCCAGAACACGGAGAGGCTTCGTTTATAGGTGTTCTGGTGCGGGGGGGGGGGGTGGGGCCCCAGAACACGGAGAGGCTTCGTTTATAGGTGTTCTGGTGCGGGGGGGGGGGGTGGGGCCCCAGAACACGGAGAGGCTTCGTTTATAGGTGTTCTGGTGCGGGGGGGGGGGGTGGGGCCCCAGAACACGGAGAGGCTTCGTTTATAGGTGTTCTGGTGCGGGGGGGGGGGGTGGGGCCCCAGAACACGGAGAGGCTTCGTTTATAGGTGTTCTGGTGCGGGGGGGGGGGGTGGGGCCCCAGAACACGGAGAGGCTTCGTTTATAGGTGTTCTGGTGCGGGGGGGGGGGGTGGGGCCCCAGAACACGGAGAGGCTTCGTTTATAGGTGTTCTGGTGCGGGGGGGGGGGGTGGGGCCCCAGAACACGGAGAGGCTTCGTTTATAGGTGTTCTGGTGCGGGGGGGGGGGGTGGGGCCCCAGAACACGGAGAGGCTTCGTTTATAGGTGTTCTGGTGCGGGGGGGGGGGGTGGGGCCCCAGAACACGGAGAGGCTTCGTTTATAGGTGTTCTGGTGCGGGGGGGGGGGGTGGGGCCCCAGAACACGGAGAGGCTTCGTTTATAGGTGTTCTGGTGCGGGGGGGGGGGGTGGGGCCCCAGAACACGGAGAGGCTTCGTTTATAGGTGTTCTGGTGCGGGGGGGGGGGGTGGGGCCCCAGAACACGGAGAGGCTTCGTTTATAGGTGTTCTGGTGCGGGGGGGGGGGGTGGGGCCCCAGAACACGGAGAGGCTTCGTTTATAGGTGTTCTGGTGCGGGGGGGGGGGGTGGGGCCCCAGAACACGGAGAGGCTTCGTTTATAGGTGTTCTGGTGCGGGGGGGGGGGGTGGGGCCCCAGAACACGGAGAGGCTTCGTTTATAGGTGTTCTGGTGCGGGGGGGGGGGGTGGGGCCCCAGAACACGGAGAGGCTTCGTTTATAGGTGTTCTGGTGCGGGGGGGGGGGGTGGGGCCCCAGAACACGGAGAGGCTTCGTTTATAGGTGTTCTGGTGCGGGGGGGGGGGGTGGGGCCCCAGAACACGGAGAGGCTTCGTTTATAGGTGTTCTGGTGCGGGGGGGGGGGGTGGGGCCCCAGAACACGGAGAGGCTTCGTTTATACGTGTTCTGGTGCGGGAGGGGGGTGGGGTGCCCCAGAACACGGGGAGGCTTAGTTTATACGTGTTCTGGGGCGGGAGGGGGGTGTGGTGCCCCAGAACACGGGGAGGCTTCGTTTATGCTGGGAGTGCGATCGCCCGCACCGGAAATGTGTGGTACCGCAATGCTCTGTGTTCCAGTACAGTGCAGGCTTCCTTTACGCGATCCAGTGCGTTCATCCTGCGGGACTGTGCGACTAATGCACTGGATGGTGTGAACGGGTCCTCAAACTGTATGCAGTACGGATCTGAGCGCGGCGTATTTTACGCCCGTGTGCACGAGCCTCTATATTGCTGCGCTTTAACGTGAGAGGCAGAGAAACGCGAAGTCCTTGTTCTGTCTCCGCGCGATGTCACTGAATGCAGAAACGCGACGAGGAATCTTCATCTCTCAGACGTCAGAAGTCACCGCTGCGCCTTTCATCTGCAAAAGCGAAGTGTTGGTACAAAGTATCTCTTTTCTCTTCCTGCCTGTGAAATGCAGGAGATGCTGTGAATGCAGCGAGCAGGCGGACAGGGAGGGACAACCCCCCCCCAGGAGGTGGGAGCTATTCGTAGCAGCTCAGAAGAGGATAGGAGCAGCACAAGTCCTTCTATCCCAGAGCATGCCATGGGGTGGGTCAGAGAATCATCCGTCTGCTTACAAGTGAAGGCAGACCAGCAAGGTAAGTGAGATGACATCCACGTCTACAACTTGTGGGGGGCTGCCAGGTGGAACAGGGCTGGGGGGGACTGCTAATGCATACAGAAAACCTTTGCAATGTCAGAGAATGTGCACCACGTCCTGTGCAGACTTCACATCCTATTATTTTTGCTGCTTTTCACTCTCTGGATGGAGGACGCACAGCTGGATTATCCCGTAGGATCTTACAATAAGCGGTGCACGGCCGGTCACTTAACCGAAAAGGGAACTCCTGCCAGGTCTAGCTCGGGTGCGCTCCGACTCTTCCCGTGCACGTTCTATTAGTATCTGCACTGACAGCTCGTGCGCGCTCGTGCACTCACCGGCTGCGCGGATCACTCTTCCAGCCCCGACGTTTGGACCGCGCTCGTCGTTTGCCTGAAGATTCCCGAGATGATTAATGATGTTGGCTGAGGAGTTTTTCGGTTGTCCGCGTTGCTGCGCGGCGACAGCATCAAGAATTTCCATGTTCGTGCTCCTGAAACGGCTCGGACGGCAGCGAGCGAGCGATGGCGACGCGCGGGGGGGGACTGACGGGTGGCGTTAACCCTTACCTGTCAGGAACGTGGCATTGCCTCAGTCAAAGGTTAAATACCATAACCAAGTACGGATGTCGGCAAATATTTGCCTTAGCCCCTCGGTTTTATGAATGTATCAATGCCTCCTTTCTGAACCTTGGATTGTTTGCGCTGTGTTGTCAGCTCGCATGAGCTTATTGTGGCGGGGCCGCGAATGCACATTGTCGCCGAGGATAGATAGTTCCATTAACACCTTCCCCACTGCACAGGTCACCACTGTACGGGGAATTATTGGTGTTCCTGGGGACCGTTTACAAGCCAATAGCCTCCATCTGGGACTTGTCAGGTCAGACCTATAACAGATCAAACTTGATTTGGGGAACATAGATCTATACCCCAAACCAAAAGGTTACACAAGTAACAAAAAGTGTCAGACTGGATGGACCTCCTGGTCTTTTTCTGCCGTCGCTCTTCCATGTCGCTATGTTTCAAAATTGCGACATATTGCGACAAAATTGCAAAGGGTAACAATATAAAAGCGGGTCGGGAAAGCGGCATGCTGTGCTGTGATAAGAGACCGGTTCCCTGGTGGAAGAAGGAATGGTTCACGCGTTACACGTCGATCAGTCCAATAATCTCATTGCAGGGAAGGTGTTTACTACACCCAAGACCTGTAGAAATAAAACAAGACACCAAACAGGAATTTGTGAGATTACCTTTCAGCTATTACCGCCACTCGTAGGCAGAGGGAGAGAATCATATTACTAGGTGAAGGTTAACAATTCGTAGTCAAGCTGCCTGGAATATTGTCTCGGCTTGTCTCTGGTGCATACGTTGGGGCAAAACACTCACACGCTCAAACTTACAGCACCGTATCCAAAGCGCCTCGGAGTAAACTCTCCCGTCCTTAAAGGGTCAAAACTTTTTTCTGGTCTTGGATGGAGTAGACAAGAGTTAAACCCACCACTGATATGTGTGTGTCCTCCTTCTGAAGATGCAACCCTCGCTTCGTACTGTCATTGAGAACGGGAGAAATCCAAAATTTAAGAGGTAAGGGGAACCTTTCCATGGGGACACCTGTTCTGGTGACAACTGTCCAATAAGGGATTTCGACCCTTTACTACTCTACCCAAAGCCAAAAAATAGCTCCAGACATTTTAACTCTTCCTGAATGGCCGATCGCTCTCAAGGTGTGATACATGATGGCCCAGTAGGCTGGTTTGCTACCTAGGTCACTAACCAATGAACCTTCCTTGACTGATGCTGTCAAATTATTATTATATGTATTATTATACAGGATTTATATGGCGCCAATAGTTTGCACAGCGCTTTACAATATAAGGAAGACATTACCATCACAATACAATTTAAGACAAGATGGTAAGGAGGGCCCTGCCCCTGAGGGCTTACAATCTAAATAATGACATTTTATTCGGCTGGCTCTTAGTGAAAACATTTCGGGAAGGTCACCAGTTCCCCATAGGCTCTCCTTATATTCCTATCACTTGAAATGTCAGTTAGAAGTACATAGTGAGGGAATCGCCCCCCGAAATCACACACTGGAAGTCCACATTCTCTGGAGACAATTGTCTGCTGCAATATGCAGTTCTCCGGTTCAGCCGCAGAAGCCATGGTGTCATGTAGGCTACTGTAAGCAATTGCTACTCAAATTTCACCATCAGAACGGAGGAAGGTCTTCAGCTTGATACAAGTGAGGGGACAGTATGAAATAAAATGAGCACACATGAAGGTCTACGTGTTGCACGAAGCGACCTCTGAAAGACTGACCTTCTCACGCAGGAATCTGGTTACTTTTGGCAGCAACACTTTTTGAACATCTTGTCAGGTTAGTCTGTAAACATGACAGGTTCACTTTATTGGAAAAGGAAGGGGGATAGCTGTAACGAATGGATAGACATGACTTTGTGGGAAGAATATTTGTGTCACCTTATGCAAAGCGGAGCAGAAAAAGACTACGAGGACCAGAGAAATGTGACCATTGTTTGTAAAAGGCATTATTCCAAACACTCCCCATTTATTACCATACAGGAAAAAAGGGTAATTACATGCACAAGAGGACCCAAAAAAAACAAAAATGTAAAACTTCTGTTGAAAGGAGCCAAGTGTAGAACGGAATGATTTGACTAGCTCCCGGGTCACCTCTGGTTCTATGGAAATTTTTCTTTTCATGCATTGACAATACGAGTATTTCATTTTCATGTCCTCCCGTGTTTAGCTCTTTTGTTTTAGTTGTTTTTATCATTGGTAGCTGAAGAAGAAGTGAATTTGCATGTTCAGACCATGGCCATTTCCATCCGTTTCCGCTAAGTTGAGAGCAAAAAC